AATGTTGCTTGTGCTAGGATTCTGGCAGCTGGGGTGGAGAGTGAACTAGCTGTGCTAGGATTATACAGGCTCATCCAGGTTGGCCAGATTGTATACAGCATCCCTCCCAACATTTTAGGAGGGCAGTTCAGGGTACCCCTTCCTTGCCTGCTCCCACCCCACCTACCTTTCTCCAGTCGTCATCCTCTGCAGCACCCATCCTGTGCCATGTTGGCAGAAGCAGTGCAGGCCTGGCCGACCTTTCAGCAGGCCACACCCAGCCTGCACTGCGTCTCTTGATACGACGCAGATCCAAGCACCCATCTTGGGATTGGGAACAGAAGCCAGGGCAGCTTCTGCCAATCCGTCATGTGCAAAATAAATTGGGACACTTGAGGGGTCTGATACAGTAAACCTGCAACTTTTAACTTGTGTGCATTCAGCTTTGTGTGCATGGTGAAAGACACAAGGTTGGATTCAGTGAGTGGAGTTCTGGGGAAAATGACATTAGCAATCCCACCCACAATTGAACCCAGTGTGTTTTGTCTATATGCGATTTTGGCTTTAGGCACGATCTGCAGAACATAACCCCTGGGTAAGTTGCAGGCTTTCTGTATAAATGTTAACTTTAACATGTAAATTATACACTTGTAAAGCAATCACAACAAGCATCTTGAATCATCAGCTTTCCTTACAAGATATTATATTTAGAGCTTTTTTTCTATGTTACTACTACAGTTCTCTGCAGTCAAGACATAAGCTGCTTTTAAAATTAATATGCTGTGTCGGTCTTCAGTCCAAGTGTAACTCATCTTACAAGTGTGGTTTAGATCAATAACTGTCTTGGTAAACTTCTCTTCAATTCAGGCTGTGGGACAGCCTATTCAGGCACGATTTCAAGAATCTGAAGAAAGACCAAAAGCCTTTGAAGAACTTGGAAAACAAATCCAACTCTACATGAAAGCTGTTCTTGCTTTTAAAGCAAAGGTATCTTTATCTTTTATATGACAAGTTAGTATTTCAAAATTGTCTTAAATAATTTCAGTAGTAAACTTTAAGGCAGAAATCCTTTTTCCTTTTCAGGGCCTTATAGGATAAATTTTCAGGTGATGGCGGCTATGCTTGGAAATTGTAGTCTCTTCCCATAGCAAACAAGCAGATTTTACTGCTTATCCTCCCTCTTAACTTGATATGTTTTAATTAGTACAGCATGATATAGTGCTCTTCTGTTACGTTTTTTGTTTAGTAGACCACCAGGCTTCATTCAGATTATTTCGTCAGAGGCTAAAGTTTTTTTATGATTTACCAAAAGAAGTAAGTGTAGAATAGCATTACTTTACAAAGTCACATTTCACTACTTAAAATTTTAGGATGAACAGTACGACCACTTAGATCCCGCAGAAGTGGCCAAAGTGGAGAAGAGTGCAAATGATGCAATGGAATGGATGAACAACAAACTCAATCTTCAGAACAAGCGAAGCCTGTCTTTGGACCCTGTTATCACAGCTAAGGAAATTGAAGCAAAAACAAAAGTAAGTAATTTTGAAACTGCAGGGGAATGATGAAGTTAAGAACCTAGGGAACTGCTGCCTTATATGAAATCAGATCATTGGTCCCGTTTAGTTCAGAACTGTCTGTACACAGATTCTCTCAAGCATTTTGGACAGCAGTATTTCCCAACTTTACCTGGAGAAGCTGGGGCATTTGAAATGCAAAGCAGCTTCTTTACCACTGAGCTACAGTCGCTCCCCGTAAATTGAGTTAAACTAGTGTTGCACAGTGCCCTTAATTAGTATATTGATATTCTTGAATTTTCTACAACAGAGAGAATTGCAGAAGTTATTGTACATTCTGATTCAGTTGGTCCATTCACATACATTTTCAGCTGTTTTCTTAATCTTATGTTATGGTTTATTTATCAACCACTTTTTGTTCCAAAGGCCTCCAAAGCGGTGAACAATGTATTAATTCATATCCTGCCCACTGCAAACATACAGCTGCTCCAGCTTCTCACCTAGGAGCAAGTCAACACACAACTATGTTATTATTTAACAAATTCATAAACTGCTTCAGAGCATGAAGTCATCAGTGTAGAAGATAAAAATGGAATAAAGCACAAAACCACAAGCTCTAAAAGCAATAAAAAGTATAACGATCTAAAAACAATAAAACTATCTCTGCAGACATACAATTAATAATCTGTAAAAGAAACCACTCACCCACATGGCTCCCTCACACTTCTCCCACCCCAAAGGAGGCACCCAAAGCTGGTGGTGACCAGCTGCCAATTGTGACCTCCAAAAACTAGGTTTCCCTGCCTTCCCGCTCCCCACCCCAAAATGTATTGCTGTGGAAAGTTGTTAGGTGTCACCGGCAGTTTGCTGGCAAAACCTTCCAGCCACTTCAGGCTGTTTTTCCCCCAGGTATTGTAGAAAGAAGCTAGGGAAGCTAATGTTGGTATCTAGCTGCCAGCCATGGTCCTGCTACTGCTACATTTTGGAGAGCAACCTTAACATAACTTTACTTAATTTCCTGGTGTGATGTGTTCTGGTTCTTTCATTTTAGGAACTGATCAGTATGTGTAATCCTATAATCAACAAACCTAAACCCAAGGTGGAACTTCCAAAAGAGGATCAAAAGCCAGCAGAACAGAATGGTCCAGTAGAAGGCCAGGGGGATGGCTTCGGAGCGTCTCAGACTACAGAACAGAGTACTGATTCAACAGCCCAAACATCTACAGAAAAGAAACTTCCTGAAATGGACATTGATTGAATCGCAGTTCCTTGTTTATATTAGAAACTACAATAAAGCTTTAAGTTTGTCAACTTTATTATGTTCTGAGTATAAACGGGGAGCCAAGTGAGAGCTGCAGCTTCTCACACTAACTCTTTTTAGATCAGATTGGTCAGTATAAAGCATCTTGACTCTTGGGTAGCTTAATTAAACGGTCAGATAGGTTCTTTCTTTTGCCATGACTTTAAAAGCCCACCAGTAACCACTTAGATTTGCAGTCACAGGTGATCATTTTAAAAGCGTGAGGATAACAGGAAGATAATTTTGTTCTAATCTGCCACTAGGTTTCTATTGTGAATTGCAGCAGCTGCATTTATAAGTATTGATAGACAAGTTCCAGAAGTGTTTGCAGTTCTGGTTTTATTGCACAAGAGTAATATAGCAAAATACAAGTTTGTGATCTGTCTACAATTACAGAGGCAATAATGGCATGTTTCCTAGCTGGAAGTATAATTCATTTCACATTGTGCCATTGATAAGTTATGTGAGGTATATGGCGCCATGGATCAGATTACATGTTTGTGCTAAATTCAAAGAATTGAAAAGGCTGGAGTGTTTTTTCCAGTTCATGTCCGCACTCCATTATTGATGTCCTGGGCATTGTATCAGATTGTTTATCTGATATGCAGAGTAGCAAATATATACCTAAACCTGCTATTAGATATGCAAAAATGTATACTCATGGTAAAGTCGCCCCAGGTATATGAAATGCTGTATAAATTTCTGTCTCTAGTTGAAGTAGTTGCTTATGCGGGGGGAAAGAGGATACTGCTTGCTGTCCACACTTTTGGATAATTCTGATTGTTAACCCTGAAGAGGATATTTGCTTCCTTCATTTTGGAAGTGCTTAGCTTTATCTTCTGGGCAAAACAAGAAGTCTTGACAGTTTCTCTCATGTGCTCCTCTACACTTTGGCTGTTTTGCTTCTAGTATTGATAATTGTCATATAAACTTGTATGTGTTGAAATAGGAATGGATACATCCATACACATTGCAAGAAATAAATGCACTGGATTGTACTGGATTTTTAAAAACCCATTTATTGGTGAAAGACACAGGTTGGATTCAGCAATCTGCCAACAAAAGGGGGTGAGCGGAAGCCCACTTTTCTGTTCCCCTGAAGTTCGGAGAATCCTGATAAGTGGTGTAGGGGGTATTGCAGAAAAGTGAGCATGTGCAGGGTCCTTTGGTCCTCAAGGAGGGGGAGATAATTTTGGGAAGCTGTAGGGACTGGCAACAGGAGGCAGGGGAAGAAATGTCAGCTTCTGCGTGCCTCCCTCTATTGCCAAATCTCTCTCTCTCTTTTTTTAATCTCAAGAAATCTATGAGTTGAGTTCAGTCTTTTTGCAAATAGCTTCTTGTAAAGCAAGAAAACACTACCACACAACTGAGGTGGATTGTTTTAAGAAAGTAATGTTCTTTCATCAGTTAAGTCATACCTTAAAATCACACATGGATCAAACAATCGGTTCCGTTAGTTTAGACTAAACTGGTACTCTGCTACAGCAAAGTATTGTGTGCTAGTATCAAAGTGGTTCTTTAACATGCAGAAGTCCATTTTTTACCTCTGGAAATATCCAACTTTTAGTTTTAAAAAAAATCATTGATTATGGGCTAAGAGAAGACTCCAGAGATCACCTTGAGTCTAAATGACAACTCAAAATATTATTGCTGTTTTTTTCTACCTGTTCATCAACTGCTGCCTGTAATTGACTGGGCAACCCTTCTACTGAAATAAAAGCTTTAGGTCTATGATGCCCCATTGTTTTGTCAGCTTTTATTTCATCGGGGGGCGGGGAATAGTGCAAGTTTCCTTAAATCTGAAAAAAAAAATTGCTTTTCACTGTGCATGAAATGATGAAATCATACTGCTGTACATCTATACAAATATTTAATCTTACCATATTTATGTATGGGCTTGTATGTAATGTTAGAGCTAAATAGGGTGTGTGTTCTTCCCAAGTGTTTCAGAAATTTGGAAAGGGTGAGAGAGGTAGAACCAAACTGGAATGAAGGGGACTATTTAATGTGGGAAAAGAACATACGCAAGGGAAGAAAAAGGTGGGAATATAAACATACAAGTGCTGGTAAAATGAATGGGAAGTCATGGGGAAATAGCTGATATACAAGGTTGCAGCAATAGAATAAAGCATCTAAGGTGTAAAGGTTTGCTTAGGAACAGTATGCTGCTTTCAGCATGTTGCTTAAGAAGGCAAAAGGAGCAAAAAAAAGGGGTGTTTTCCTCTTTATTTCAGAAATATTTTTAGGTGCAGGGTTAATATTTGTTCATCAGTGATCCAAAGCAGTCATTCCAGTAAAATTCTGGTGGTGAGAATCCTGAGGGCATGAGGTTTACAGTAATCCAATGGCAAAAGTTTCCTGCAGTCAGCTGCTTCTCCTATGGAGAAATAGTACTAACTGAAATTACATCTATTTTCACAGATCCTTTTGCAATGAAGTCCAACTCATTATTTCCACCTTTTCAGTAGTATTCATTTCATTACAACTACTGTATGCATCTGGTGTTTTGATACCCTTATAATCATCTGTGGAGAAAAATGTTAATCTTGAACAACAACAAAAACTACGATGCAGTTGTATCCTGCACTAGATAACCTGACCAATATTATACGTCCCATTTTGCACAGAGAGAAGGGGGACAGATGTGTGAATGTTGCACCATGTTTTATACTAACTAGCCTTCTAAAGATGTGTGTTGAGGTTGATACATGCCTAATGCTCTGAGTACACCTATTACATTATAAGCAGACTATTCCCACTGAAATTAATAGACCTGTTAGTCATGTCCATTAATATCATTGAATATTCTCTGAGTAAGGCTAATGGACAGAAGCCACTGAAATCAGTGGACCACTTCAATAGATCTATAATATCAGCATACCTTTCCAGGGACAGTCTCAGAATTACAGAAGCTGTCCCTGTTTCTGATGTGATCCCAGAATGTCGGTGTTTTCCTTTTTCCTTCTTCACATCTCGGGAGAACAATTAAAAGTGTGTAGGTGCAAAACTAGGTCCTGTTTATCCTGAAAATAAAATCTCTGTACCAAATTAAATAAATTGTGGAGCTGGCATACAAAGCCCTTCCTATAATTTTGAAGGAAAAGGTTACCAATCCACTTTAAATTCTTTCATTGCAATGCTTCAGCAGCCAGCCATTTCTCTGGAAACACACGGAGTGTTTATTCCTTTACTGTAAATGGAGTCTTACACTGTCTTTACTCAGAAATAAGTGCCACTGTTTTCAATGGAGCTTATTCACAGGTAACTGGGTCAAGACCAGGCAGCCTTACACTACACTCTGAAGCATTTTTACTTAGAACTAAGTCACACTAAGTTCAATCGGATTTACTTTCTGGCCAGTCTCACAGTTTCCATTATTACTAATTACAGTATATCTCACCTTTTCCTCTGTAAGGGACTCAAAGCAGCTTACTGCTAAAACTTTATTTCATTCCATTCATCTGTGGAAGATGTTGCACACGATCCCTTCTCTCGCACATTTTTTTCTTTACAACAACCCTGTGAGGTAGGTGAGGCAGAACCACCAATGTCAATGTGTATATGACGTCTTATGTGGTGCAGGCGATCAAACGCACGAAAAGCTTCCTGATGGAGAATAGGATGTCCCTATTTTCATCAGAGAAATGTTGGGAGGGTATGTGGTATCGCCCTGAGATTAATAACAGTTTAGACTGCAATTCTAACCCCACTTGCTTGTAGGGTGTAAATCGTACCGAATTCAAAGGGAATGACTTAAGCACCGCTTAAAGGTGCTTACGATGCAACGATCGCACCTTTCAGCAAACTCGCCTATTCAACTGTTTTGTTGGCGAAACGCAACGTCACAGACCCGGATCTCCATGTCGCGCCGTAATCACACACTGCTGCTAAGAGGCAGCAGAGCCAAACTACACACCCAAAAAGATACACAGGTTATTTACGACAAGTTAAACTGATTTCGGCAAAAAAGGGCGTCTTGCCCAACACGTTTGCAATCCACCCACGTTCCAAAGCGGCCAAAAAGTTCTCACTGGGGTCGGGAGGGCGATCCCTCTCCCCTCCCCCCGGCCAGCCGGACACGAACGCGGCTGCCGCTCCATTAACTTCCAACCCCTCCAAGAACGTTAAGATGGAGACCTCCAGTCAAACCGGAAGCCGAAGGGCGCGCATGACCCGTAGGCTGCCAACCGTGCGGCTTCTCTACCCTTCTCCTCTCTCTCTCTCTCTTCTTGACGCTCTAGGAGTCGCACCCGGAAGCCGAGGGCAGGCGACTTAGGTGAGGGAGGGGCCGCTTCGGCTGGTGAGTGACGGGTCGGGGCCGGGGTCTCCGCGCGCGCCTGCCTGCGAGGCGAGCGACGCCCCTGCTCTGCTCCTGGCGGCGCCTTCTGGGGGCTTCTGGCGAGGCTGGAGCGGCCACGGGAGCTGGCAGGGGGATTTGCCGATAGGAGAGGCACGCTGGCGCGGCTCCGGCGTTTCCTTGTGCACCGGCGGGGTCTGCCACGCCCAGGTTGCGAGACTCTTCGGGGTCTGGCCGGAAGCTAAGCGCAGTCTGTATTAGGAAACTAATCTGGAGTAGATGGTAGCCTGGTTGGGGGGGGGATGCATCCCCCCCCCAACAGTGAAGTCTAATGATTTGCACACCTGCTTCTTTTGTCCCCAGCTACTATAGCTGAAAGTCCTACATGCTAGCATTTTGAGTGTCACTGACACCAAAAGGATGCAGTTTCCCCGCCCCTTTCTCTGCATTTGTGCTATTTTTGTTTACTTCTCCCTTAATGCTTTAAGGACATGGGGCATCTAGCTCTTGAGAGCCATTGCAGTCAAGGGAACACTTTGCAGGATTATGCGAGAGTAGGGTTTGGCGATATATTGTCCCAAACCAGTTAGTAGTCAACATCAGTGGCGTAGCGTGGGGGGCCGGCCGCACCGGGCGCAACATCTGGGGTTAGGGCAAATCCATGGGTTAGGGGGCGCAAATCCACAGGTTAGGGGGCGCAAATCCACGGGTTAGGGGGCGCAAATTACTTGCCTTGCCCCGGGTGCTGACAACCCACGCTACGCCACTGGTCAACATTGTGATAAGCGTTTCATAATATATCCCGAATCACAATGTTTTGTGTGTGCTATGTAAAAAATCACGATGTGGGAAAAACTGAAGCTGGTCATCGCTTCTCTCCTGATTCCTGCTACCCCTGTTGCTGTTCCATAAAATAACAGTCTTATCAATATGGTAAAGGTAGTTAAAAATGTATCAATTTTAGACTGCTAAGTAGTAGCAGTTTCCAGGACATGACTCCACTGGCCTCTACTTATTTTCATCATTTCAGACATTGTGATAAATCAGTATATCGCATGGTTGATATAGCACAATGTTGAAAACCAGGTATCGCCCAGCCCTACGCAGTAGCTAAGGGAAGCTAAGGGTTTTTAGACACTGTGTAGGCATTTGTCAGGAATGCCTTGTTCTCCATTTTCTTCTGACATGGAGCAGGAGTTTGTAGTAGATTTTTGTTGTTGCCTTCTGTTATACCACTATGACTTTGATTTTTGTCTACACATTAAGGGTTATATCCAGTGATGTCATCCCATTTGGGCAAGGACTTCTGCTTGCACAACAGAGCAACACCCCTCATGTGCTCCTCAAATCTGTTTTGGGGTTCGCCTCAATCCTCCAGATTGTATTTTTTTGGGTAGGGGCAAGAGGAAGGAAAGGGACAGCAAGGCTTGTTGCACATGCCAAAGTCATTGTGCAAATGGAACAGCTTCATTGGATACAATCCCATCTTTTAACATAGTATATGCTCTGGAACGTGCTGTAGAGTTAAAACTAGTCAGATTTATAGTGCACTTTTATATGTGCCTGCTCAGAAATAAGTCCCTTTAACTGCAATGGGAATTACTCCTACTAAATGGGTTTGCTGGTTTAGTAGGGTGGAGCCTTTCTAAATTCAGTAAACCCTGTTGTGGGACTGAAAGCACCCACCAGGAATTTTATATTTTAGCATAGTAGAAGTAATGTTAGAATCATAGAATTGTATAGTTGGAAGGGACCATGAGTGTCAAATAGTCCAACCCCCTGAAATTCAGGATTCTTACCTTTTATTTCTTTTTCTGCAGAAAACAAGCACTAAGCATCATTGACCCTCTGGAGACCACTTAAGACACCAATGCCATTGTCTTCAGCAAGAAGTTGTATTCCTGTTGCCCTAGATATTCAGTGGATAAACAAGTTTGATGATCAGGCCTTACTGATGTGACTAACTGGAAAGGTACCAATTTCTTATGACATTCCTCTGCTAAAATGAAAATCAGCAACGTTACACATTGGAGTTGCTTGTGTATTATTGTGTGTAGCTTAAGAAATAATTATTTTGATGGAAGAAAATGCATTTTTAATGTACCTTTAAGAAAAGATTGCTGTGCTGTCACCAGTGCGCATTTCACTTTATCAAGTATGAGGGGATATGTAAGCCCCAAGGAACTTACAAATTTAAAATCTGACACAAGAGTCACAACAGAGGAAGAGAGAAGTAGGGGCAGGTATAAACAGGGAAGTAATAGGAGGGTATTTAAGTTACATGTCCTTAAACTTAGAAAACCATTGCTTTCTAGTCTTGCTTTCTTCCTCCCTACTATTGTTGTAAGGGACACGGGTGATGCTGTGGTTTAAACCACTGAGCCTCTTGGGCTTGCTGATCAGAAGGTCAGTGGTTCGAATCCCTGCGACGGAGTGAGGTCCCGTTGCTCTGTCCCAGCTCCTGCTAACCTAGCAGTTCGAAAGCACATCAAAGTGCAAGTAGATAAATAGATACCACTCCAGCGGGAAAGTAAACGGCATTTCCGTGTGCTCTGGCACTTGTCATGGTCCTCCGTGCGCCAGAAGCGGCTTAGTCATGCTGGCCACATGACCCGGAAAACTGTCTGTGGACAAATGCCGGCTCCCTCAGCCTGAAAGCGAGATGAGCGCCACAACCCCATAGTCACCTTTGACTGGACTTAACCGTCCAGGGGTCCTTTACCTTTACCTTTTTACCTTATTGTTGTTCAACCACTTATTTCATTCCATTAGGTTCAGTATACAGGAGAGAGGAGAAAAAACAGTAGGAAGGCAGTTGAAGTTCAGAAGAGGTAACTGGCCACAGTGGTCCAAGAGGGAGGATTCCACTCATGAGACCTGTCAGTGGAAGCCCACAGAAGGACTTCTACTTGTGCACCCCTTCATGCCCCCCCCGATTTTGATTCTTGGGTGGGGTGAGAACCCTCCCCCCCCCACAAAAAAGTGTGCTGGTGGAGGTGAGGGGGGTTGTTCATTTGGCAAGCTGAATGGAACATTCGACATGAAGTTCAATTCCTCACATGGAAAGTGAATTTTGAGAAAGAGGTTGCTTGACCAATTAGCTGAAGGGAGAACATCTAAGCTGGCTATATAGTAATCGAACAGGCTAAAGCTCACAGTAAAACAACTGTGTAACAGGAGGGAAACATCTTTGTCAGCATACAGCATCCATAAATTTTAAAGAGCCATCCCTAATTTTGTGGAAGCAGTGAAGTTTTACAGGGCTGACTGCAGCATGCCTTAGCACAGGGTTGGGGAGCCTTCAGCCCTCAGGCCAGTCTTGACCCAGCATGGGTTCCAGTTTTGTCCCCAAGACAATTTTTGTGAACCATGCCCACCTATCAATCAGATGACATCACCTTAATGGGTGGGTGACATCTGCTGCTGGGCAGGTTTGATGGGTACAGTGCAGAAATCCATATTTAACCCCCTTGCCCATTCAGTCCTGCTTTGTTGGTTACATGTGCTCATTTCCTATGGCCAATCCCTTCAGAAGCCAGGAACATCGGTGACGGCTCATTCTTTCTCAGTTCCGATCACCCTCAGATTGCCCTAAGCATGATCTGAATTAATGCTGTAATAGACCATTCTTGTTACAGAAGTCTGCTTAATTTATACTGGGGATATGTCCATCATTCACAGGAACTGTAAATGTCTTCAGAGGACAAAGAAGCTCAGGAAGATGAGCTACTTGCTTTGGCAAGTATCTATGATGAAGATGAATTCAAGAGAGCGCAGTCTGTACAAGGAGGAGAAACTAGAATCTCTGTGGAATTGCCACCAGGCTTCACCATATGTATGAGTGGTGAGTCCATTTCCATGGATACTTACCTTCTTTGAGTTTATTGCAATACTATTGTATGTTTCAAGTGCTTTATTCAAGAAGTAGGGGCTGATTTGCACAGTGGCCTGATATGTTCATTCTTCACATGGTATTGCACAGGGCCAAGCCTTGGGATCACCTGCTCTCTCTACCTCCACCCCCATACTGGCGAATATATGGTGTGAGCAGATGGCTATGCCACATCCATGGATATATGATAGATGGGGGCAAGTATGTGTAATACAGGTTAGATCATGCAACACATTTTGTTGGTATAGGTCATGGGTAGGCAAACTAAGGCCCAATCGCCTTCTAAATCTGGCCCGAGGATGGTCCAGGAATCAGCGTGTTTTTACATGAGTAGAATGTGTCCTTTTATTTAAAATGCATCTCTGGGTTATTTGTGGGGCATAGGAATTCGTTCATTCCCCTCCCCCCCCCAAATATAGTCCAGTCCCCCACAAAGTCTGAGGGACAGTGGACTGGCCCCCTGCTGAAAAAAATTGCTGACCCCTGGTATAGGTTGTGTGAGTGTTACATGTTGGGCCTGAAGGTGAACCAGCCCTAAAACATTTAGCTAACTGTAAATTCTATAAGGGGTAGGTGCATTGAATGTTTGCCAAGAAAGCTGCTCAGGTTATGTGAGATCCCAGTCTGCTTGTATCACACATAATCACAGAGCTTTGTCTTCAAAATAAAATGGCCTCCGTAGAGTGGGATTATTTGGGGACGAAATCAATATTGGGCTAAGGCAGTTGCTCCATCAGGGCAAGCATTTTGACTTGCCAGACGGATCAATCCTCCTCCTGCACACTGTTCTAGGGATTCTCCTGAAATCCTCTTCCCCATTTCAGGTTTTTTGGGAGGGGGAATGGAGGGGAAGCCCCATTGCACAAGCAGAAGTCCTTGCAGAAGGCTTCCGTTGATAGAACTCCCTAGTTTTTGATTGAATATGGTTGTGCTGGTGTGATGCCAGCACAGAATGAGATGTTGCATTGACACAATATTGTGTTTCACCCTGCCTGTATCTTAGCTGGCATAGCAACTTAGAGGACTGAAGCTTACTTACACCTAAAGAACTGAACCTCACACTTCTTTTTAAAAAATTATGTGCTTTTCTATTAATTTTTCATTTGTGTAGTATCTTTCATCAGAGCTTCTTAGAAGAGTTCTTGAAATATTAATTGGTAGAAAGAGAGCTGTTGAAGCAACCCTCCTGTCTAATATTGCGTATAAGCATTGGAAATCATGCTTATGTTTATAAAACAGCTGCCGCTGACAGAACCATGCTATTTTTAAGATTGTGAGCTCAACAACATTTTCCTACCGTTCTCTTCATTTTGCAATGTTCTTTTTACAGAGCAAAAGAGGGAGGAACAATTTCCTAATAAGATATAGAAGATAGACACTGAACTTAAGATCCTAGTTTAAAGTTTTCCATTACCTTATTTTGAAAGCTTTGTGGATTACTAGATATGGTTGGTATCATGTTGTTCCCTTCTGAAATATTTTATGCATACATTTATTTAGTTTGAAATCATGTGCACAACTAAATTGTCCCACCAGTATGAATGCACCTAACTGTATGGGATGACAGTGTTACTTAGGCTGAATTTGCTTGCCTGGCTTTTCTGTTTTGTTCAGGAGCATCTAAACCAGGCTTCCTCAAACTGCCCTCCAGATGTTTTTGGCCTACAACTCCCATGATCCCTAGCTAGCAGGACCAGTGGTCAGGGATGATGGGAATTGTAGCCTCAAAACATCTGGAGAGCCGAGTTTGAGAAAGCCTGATCTAAACCATTCTCCCTTTGGGGAATTCAGAGAAAGGAATGGGCTTTTTCCCTAAGCCTGGAGTAGCCAACATGGAGCCCTCCATCCCCCTCAGCCAGCGCTGCCAGTTGTCAGAGATGATAATGTCCACAACATCCACAGGGTACCACATTAGCTACCCCTGCTCTAATCACAGTGGTAGAAGAATTAAGAGGCTTCAACTATTGCTTAGAGCAGGGATGGGCAACAGAAAGCCAGATCTGGGAGTGGCCAGCCCAACACCTGACACCATACAATGTTAGGTGAGTCAAACTTCAAGCTGAGGTTGCAAAGAAAAAATCTTCCTTTGCATCCCTGGCTTGAATTCTTTCTGGGACTTCAAATATTTTATTGTCAACAATAAGGTGGGTATGGTTTGGCCAAAACAACCTGCTGGGCTTAATTTGGCCCACAAGACAAGAGTTTCCCTGTCACTGGTTTAGAGACATGTTATTTAGCTAAGGCCTGGTTCAGACATTGCAACAATTGCAGGCTCACATCCTCAGACATAGTTTCTTGCAATGTCTGCATTGGGCCAATGACTGTTACTACTAACTACAGTTTGCCTCAGAACCACTATTGGAAGCTAGAACTTACCGAGTGGGTATCTCATTCTTTGGAGACAAAACATGGGTTAGTGATAACCATGATTTTTGCTTAACATCACAGCAAGCAATGGTTACTGTGAACCAGGAAGTGGAAGAGAGAATTAAAAAACATGTTGGAAGGAGGGACCATGCAATCCAAACACATCTCAGTAGAGTCTGTGTGAACTAGTTTTATAACAGAAATATTTCAGATGAAGGGAAACTTTCTGAAACCATATCAAACAATTCTGTTAGGTAGTAGCACAGCTTGTTGCCTCTTCCTGACATTCAGATTTTTATTTTTTTAGGCAACCTGACAGAGAATCTCCAGAACAGCAAGTTTGAATGCAGAGTTTGTTTTTTGCCTCCGATTGTGCTGCATTTTGAATTCCCACCAGACTACCCGTCAACTTCCCCACCTGTCTTCACCCTCAGTAGCAAGTGGCTTTCTCAGGCACAGGTTTGATACAGATCTTTAACAATTCGTGTAGTTCACCAGAATAGTAATATTTCTTGTTAATGATTAATATCGTGGTTGGTTATTAATCTGGATGCAGCAACAAAAAACTACTTAGAAGAAGCTTAAGAGCTAGCTAGGAAGAATAATGTATTAATTTTTCTTAGATGTATCACTGTCATACCTAAAGTCAGATGGTGTGAGTTTGAAACGTTTTTAATTGTTCTTAAAGCTGCTCTAAATCCTTCATGTCCAATGAACTTCGGCATGATTAGCATTGCTTCTTCTTTTGAAAAATCCTACCATAAATGGTGGTTTTCCTTTTCCCTTCTACGTCATCTATATATGTGCACCCATAATATTCTGCACACAAAGGGTTGTTGTGTGATGTGGGACATGCAGTATGAACACTGCACATGATGAGCAACTCTGCTCTCCTAAAAATGGTGTGAGTACAGCAAAGTCCCCAGCCTTCTAGTTATCCAAACTCACTTTGTGCCCCATGCTTAGTTCCAAGTAAATAGTAATCCAGTTTATCAGGACACTGGATTTTCCAAAGGTTTTCTTACTCTATGTTTAGGACCTGAGTCAGGAAATAAAGGGGTTTCAACATTTGACATCAATAACACCAAAAATGCTTCATGAAAGTGAGAGTTAGATGCTGTTGCCTTTCATTAAAGAAATAGCTTTTATTTTAGAACTATAGTTGTTTATGAAAGAGTGAAAGAGGTATGTACATTTTGGTTTAGTTTATTCTATCATGAGAAAAGTGTGTGGGTGATATCCAGTGTAAGTCATGATCAGAGTAGACATTGAAATCAGTGGAACTTAGCTCCATTAATTATTGCAGTAACAATAGTGGATTGCCAAATGAGACTCCTTTCTTCTTTACTAGAAGTCTTGCCAAATTCTCTCTAGCTTTCCAGCTTACATTTTACCAATGTAACGTGCTATTGGAATGAAGTTTTATGTTTTAACATTGTACACTGCCCTGGTATTTATTACATCTGGCATTTTATAAATAAAATATAAATACAAAGGACACTTAATTGCTTCTGGAATAGCACGTATTTTACACCCTGTGCTGTGGCTGCTGTCAGGGAGACCTCTAAATTCTTACTATATTATTAAGGCTGTAGTAGCGCTAAGCTAGGAGCTTCTGTTTAACAGAATGCTCCATTGCACTACATTGAGTTCCAACCCCAGGAAGGAATTCAGCATGGTGCTATGGTAATCATTCTGTCAGCGCAAGCATTTCAGCTTTCCAGATAGAACAATCTGCTGTCTCCTCCCCCTGTTTGCTATTCTGGGGGTTCTTCTGACTCCCACCCCCCAGCTAATCGGGGGTGGGGGAGAGAGAAAAGCCTTGTTTCACTAGTGGAATTCCTTGTGTGGGCTTCTGCTAGTGGGACCCGTTACTTGAATCCAACCCCTAATCTTGAAATGGTATGCTTTCTTAAAAGATAAAGTACGATACAGATCTCAGGAAGTGTAGAAGATGCTCTCACGTCCCTGCCGTTTTTTCTTCTAGCTCTCTGCGCTTTGTAAGCATCTGGACAACTTATGGGAAGAAAACAGAGGCTGTGTGATCCTGTTTGCCTGGATGCAGTTTCTCAAGGAAGAAACACTTACGTATCTGAACATCAGCTCGCCCTATGAGCCAGAGATATGTGACCAAGGACAAGAGCAAAGCAGGAAAGGGAAAGAGGATGGGGCAGGCGCCGCAGCCGCAGCCGCGCATGAAGAAGCCCTCGATGCAAGAGCCGTGCAGGATGTTGAGTCTCTGTCCAGCCTGATTAGAGAGATTCTGGACTTTGATCAGGCCCAAAGGCAAAAGTGCTTCAACAGTAAAATGTACACGTGCAATGTCTGCTTTTCTGAAAAGCTGGGAAGTGAATGTATGTACTTTATGGAATGCAGGCATGTGTACTGCAGGGCTTGCTTGAAGGACTACTTTGAAATTAAAATCAAAGATGGTGAGGTCCACTACTTGAATTGTCCAGAACCGAAATGTCCTTCCGTTGCTACTCCTGGGCAGGTAACAACAATCATTTCTATGGCAATCCATTAAAAAAAAAAGAGTTTGATTTTTTTGTTTTTAAGTGCAGCACTGTTCTCAGCCCCACAATAGATAGGCGTTAACCCAAAGCGGAAAGCCTGGACTTCAGTGCAAAAGATTTGTGGCTGTAAAGGACTAGGACGATAGTTTTGTGAAATAGACTAAGCACAAACTTAAATCCATGTTTCTAGTTTTCTGCAATGAGTTATTAGGTAGATGGCCACGGTAATTTGGAATGAGTGTGCTACCTGGAGCTTTTTGTGAATCTTTGATGCTGTCTGGAATTTGACTTGGTCTGGTACTGGAATAACTGGAACACATGTAGATATGCTGTCTTGGGCACTGATTGCTCTCTCCTATGATCTGCTAGCTGAAGCTCCTATGAAAAGGCAACAGGTCTAACTAGAAAGTAGCTGATGAATACCTCAGCAGTGTGTCTTTTGCTTCTCTTAGCAAAGCCATGATTGAATCTTGCTAGGCAAATAAAGCCATTGCAGGCTCCTTCTTTTTCCGATAATTGAAACTCATCAACACTATGAGTTGTATCCAATGGCAGTCAAACTCAGCATAGGCCCATTGAAATGAACGGGTTCATTCATTCATGGGTTCATTCATTTCCGCGGATCTACTCTTGACTAGAATGTAGTTGGATCCAACCCTAAATTTTATTGATCACCTTCATTTTAGGTAAAAGAGTTGGTGGAAGAGGAACTCTTTGCACGTTACGACCGCCTGCTGCTCCAGTCGAGCTTGGATATGATGGCCGATGTGGTATATTGCCCACGACCATGTTGCCAAACACCTGTAATGCAGGAACCATCTGGCACGATGGGCATCTGTTCCAGGTGCAATTATGCCTTCTGTACGTTGTGTAAGATGACTTACCATGGCGTCTCCCGGTGTAAAGTCACTGCAGGTGAGTTGAACTCAACAAAAGTAGTCTCTTAACTGTGAAATGTTTGGATGTTAAATGTATGTACTGTTCGCCTTTTGAGGTAGACACTTTTTTGATGATATTATTTCCATAAGATCATTTAAGTGGAGTTCTCTGAAGGATGTAGCTTATTCTGTTGTCTTCTGCATAACATGTTCGTCCCACTGTTTCTGCTGTCTCTCCATTCCACTGGCCTCTTCACCCCATTAGAAGAAGAAGCACTGCCTCTAGTTTTGAGATTCTGTTGTGTACAGTCAGGTGTGCACCAGAGTGGGGTGGGGAAACACTTTCCGGCCTGAAGGCCCCATTTCCAACCCTCCAAAGGCCACATGACAGTGGCTGACAGGGCTAGAGGCAGAAGAAGGTGGAGCAAGAAATGTACATTTTACCTTCGTACAGTAGAGCAACTTTCTACACACACCACACACTCCTCTTTATCTTCTACCCAGGAAAGCCAGGAGCATTTTCAGACACACTCGATCCAGGTAAAAACAGTCGGGGTGCAAAACAGGGCCATTGCCTGGAGAAAGAGGGCGAAGCTTGGGGAGAGCCCTGATAGCCATACAGAGAGGGCTGAAGGGCTGTAATCAACTCCTCAATTAGCTCAGTGCTCTTAATAAGCCCTGAACTAATTATGTACATCAATAGTTTTGGAAATCAGTTTCGGTGGTGGAATTGATTCAGAACCCGTTGATTGCCCATGATTCAGCTGCTTCACAACCCCTGTTGATTGTTCCATATGGGATGAGCCGACCGGTAATGGCATTTGTTTTGTTTGAGAAGTGGAGTTGGGCATGTTTGTGAAGTTCGGTTTTGGCAGACTTGACCAGCGCCTTCTGTTCATTCTATTGTTTCCCTCAGAGAAGTTAGCAGACCTGCGCAAGGAGTACCTTGAAGCAGACGAGGCCACGCAGAAGTTTTTAGAGCAGCGCTACGGGAAAAGGGTGATTCAAAAGACACTGGAGGAAATGGACAGCAAAGAGTGGCTGGAAAAGAATTCCAAATCTTGTCCTTGCTGTGGGACTCCTATAGAGGTGAGAACAGGGCAGAGGGGGAAATGCTTCAGAGAATCAAAGGCATTTGTTTTAAGGATACTAACACAGATTCTTATAGGCAAGTAACTTAGAACCTTGAATGTTTCCTTCTTTAGCACCCATGCACAGTCTGTTTTGTGGGGAAAAGACTAAACCAAAGCCAGATTTCCCTTGAAGCTTTGGTATTGGGGTTCAAAAGCTGAAACACACACACACTTAGAAAATTGGCTTTTGTAGTTTTTAAGGAACATGATGTAACCAGGAAGGCAGAAGGAGAGGAAGGGTGTCCCCTTCTATTGGCATTAGGACAAGGGTGCTTGGAAGTGTAACTCTAAAGGGAATCTATAATTCCCACTATGCAGGAAGCCACACACTTCAAATGTGTGTTGGATGTGTTTTAAACATGTGGTGTAGATCTGCCCTAAGGCCTGAATTCAGACTTAGTCATGTTTAGAGTAGGCCCATTAGAATCAGTGGGGGTTAGGCTAGTTATGACTAATTTGAATCCCACTGATTTCTGTGGGTCTACTCTAAGCATGCCCAAGTCTCGATTCAACCTAGACAAATTTAAACAGCATAAGCATCAAATAGACCCTGCTTTGTCAGATGCATGGTGTGTTCTTCTAAGTTGTGTGTGTGTGTACATCTGGGGCGAGAAGAATTGCAAGCTGTTTGTACATGTGTTTTTCTCTCTGTGCAATATACTAACACAGCCACCCCCTGTGGAAAGATCTTAAACTGAAATCCTGTGTGATTGTGTGTGAGAGAGCAGAGTTAATTTTCCCTAGAAGGGAATCAGCAAGTTTCATATTTTTGAATGTGCTGTGATTACAGCACAGATGACTGGGGCATAAGACATAATTGATACTTGAAGTTGTTTGCCTTTGTGTCTTTCTTTCTCTCCACTGTCAGAAGTTGGATGGCTGCAACAAGATGACATGCACTGCTTGTACACAGTACTTCTGTTGGCTTTGTATGGGTTCTCTGCCAAGAGGAAATCCATATATGCACTTTAATGATCCAGCATCTCCCTGTTTTAATCGGTATGTACACTTCTGCAGTACTGAAACTGTAAACTGGGGCCAGTTTATTTGGATCAGCAGGAGCAGAAACCTAGAAGGATTTCAGCGCAGATTATTACCTAGTTAGCCTTCTCTCTGACATGCTCTCTTTTGGTGACCAGGCTTTATATACGAGTTTTGTTTGTGCTGAGAACATGCTGCCTGAAATGTTGGAATCCAAAGATGTGCTTTTTCAGCACATCTGTATGAATGGGTCCTTCAGTAAGAGCTGAAGGAAGCTGAACCTCAGAGTGCATGTCTTGTTATGTATAGGTCCGTTTGGATGGTTTCCTGATTCAAGAGTTGCTTTCTTGTGTGTTTCAGGCTATTTCGAGGTGGGGAAGATGATGGCAACTTCTGGGAGGAGGAGGGCTAGTCTGTACCCAGATTCCAAAGTGAAAGAAATCAAAGAAAAATGAAGTTGTGCCACCCATGATGTGTTCAAGATTGTACTTAAACATTGGCACTTGAGAAGAGTATACATACACACTGAAAGAGTATGAATATAGAACTTTTTTTGGGGGGGGGTCATCACTAAAAGTCTTCAAACTGGGGCAGGGGAACCATTTCCAGCAAGGGGGCTGGAATTTACCCCACAGGCCGCTGCCCGCCTGTCACTCAACTGGCATCAAGTGTGGTGCAGGTGGGTGTGGCTAGGGGAGAAATGGCCCGTAGGCCAGAGGTACTCTATTCCCACTTTAAATTCACAGGCTGATTTGAAATCCTACGTAATTTTCAGATCCTTGCACCTTGAAAAAATAGAGCAAACTCACTAGAATGCCAGTTCTTGCAAATGTCTCTGCTGCCACTGAAACAAGTGGAAAGTGATTATTTTTGTTATTTACCCATACTAAGGAGAAAGTGGCATTATAAATGTGCATTGCTATAAAATCAGGGATTCCTTAATGGTTCTTATGCTAGAACAACAACTCAATCATGCTAGAATCTATTCCAGCAGGAGTGGAGATCCTCTCTGGCTTATGAACCTGAGAGCATGATTTCTTTGATTTTTACCTTTCATTCATCACCTCCTGAAGCACTTTCCAACACTGAGGTTATTTGAACTTTTGGGACTCTTCCCATATTCATTTCTGAAGCTGGCCTTCCACACAGCATATAAATATTTGCCATCCTACTAGCTCACCCTACTGAAGGTCAACAGGTGCTATAAAATAGCTTCATATATATATATTAAAATTGCATACAAATTCACTTTCACCATCACACCTGCATCTAGATAATCTAGTTTACGGCTAAATGATGCACTGGCACAATTAAGTCCTCAAACTATTGCCAGCATGCTAGTTTTAGGATTGTGTGAGAGAGGCGGCAGCTTCTGCCTGACAACCAGGTTGGCCTCAAGAACTTGCAAAATAGGGAGCAAGTGTCCTTGTCTCTGGAGAAGGCTTTGCAGTTAGTCAAGGAGGTGTTTATTTCTGCTGCAGAAAGAGATGTATACCCTGGAGATGCACTAAAATTCTGCATTATCCCAAAAGATGGAATTAAAGAAGAAACGGTTCCATTGTGAAGAGACTAAATCAGTGCACTGTACATTTAAAGAATTTTGGTGTGCAACCTTAATTTTCACGCAAGCTATATACTGCTAGTATGATATTTGATGCAATAGAAAAGGAACCAAAACAGAAAACAAAAACGATTTACTATCCTGCATCCCCAGAAGCTGTTGTCGGTCTTTCCCGTGCAGGTGCCCTCCAGCTGTTTTGGATTATTACTCAGTTCTGGCTGGGGCTGATGGGTTTTAGTTCAAAACATTGGAGGCCGGGTTGGGGAAGACTAGTCCAGGCAGTAATAGTAAGGAGAGTTCAAGAGCAGGCTGGTCACTGGCATGGGCAATGTTTTGGCACCATGGAGGACTTAGAAGTGGGGGAATTATATAGTCATTGTATATGATGCACTACAGAATTGTGGAAACTTTAAAAATTGTGTTCTCTGGATGACTTACAATTCTTGCTTTCTCTTATTATGTTTCCTTAGTTCCCAGTCAGCCCCCAACAATGTTTCAATCCATCTTTCCAAATCCCACAGAATAAATACAACTTGATTGTTTTGGGAAAATGTACGGATTTTAATGTTAAAAAAATTAGTAGCAAAAGCTCCACACTTTCACGTTCCATTCTTGGTTACAGATCATCTTTTTGTTATGCAAACAGATAACAGGTTCAGATTTCCTTCTCGGTAATCCTTAAGTTATACAGTGCTCTGTTAAGGAGAATAGTCAGCCTCTGCTTTCTCATTTGGTCTTTAAAAAGGGGGCAAACTGACAGTTAGCTCTGCAGCTGAACAGAGCTTGGTGTAGCTGCATCCGTTGCTACTACCTCACCATTCAGAAAATGATATTTTCCAATAACGTGTTTTGCTGTCGACCGTTCCCAAGATACAAAGGCAGGGTGTTTTCACCCAGCTCCATGTGAGTTTAAGGACTGCATAACCAGTAGGTACAAATCGTAAGAGGCTAGTCACTATATGGCTTCTTGGACTGCCTTTTTTCTCCTCCCATTTCTTTCATACTGTATAGTGGATCCACAAGTTTGTTGTGAACGAGCATCAAACCTGAATTAATTGATACAAAACAGCAGACACTTAGTTCTAATGCAGATATTAGAGGAGTCCCTCAATAAAACTGGCAGTAGCTTCAAAGGAAATATTTCACATTCTGCCTAAACTTACAGTCACTACTAAAATAGCTTGGGGTGGTTACCAGTTGAAATGTTTTCAGTTCATAGTAGTATACTGTACACCACTTGGAGCTTTAAAAAATATAAGCTGCACTCCTCAACATGTCTAAAAAAGAGTAGCAGCAAGTAAAGGAAAAATAATTAGTGACTCCCCAGTGAGGTAACAGCTTTCCAAATAGGAGAATGGACCAAAACAATCTGCATTGCATGTTATGGTCTCAGAAGATTCTCCTTGTATTTAAGGCTCCCAAAAGATAAAACAGGTGAGCAGTGAGCCGTACTTAGCAACCCAGGGGGAGTTCTTGTAAAGTCCTTTTGAGTGACCATATTTCACTTCCGTGTTTTAACGGCTGTTTACACACAAGGTGACCATCTCTCGTCCTCATTACCAAGCTACTGACCTTGAAAGTACTTCACAGTTTTTACTTTAAGTTCCAGTGTGGCATCTTCATCGCATACAAAGACAGTGCGGGGATGTTGCTGAAAGGCAGACACTGTCCACATGTGATTTACTCCTTCCTCAATAGCCTTGTACAAAGCAAATGCCTTATGGGCCCCTGTGATTAGAATCATAACCTGAATTGTAAGACACAAGAGGGAACACGGTTAGGCTTAGGGCTTTTGTCACCTTCCGAGATAAGAAAAATGTTCCTTGCTACTCTCCAATATGTACAGATTTTAGGGTGGAGAAGGAGATGAGAGAGGGACGTGATTTAGAAAACCAACATTTTACAAATAAAGTAAGGGACAAAAGTTAGCGGATACTACCAATATTTGAGAGTGTCTGCCAACAAGGGGCAGAGAGAGCAAAGTAGCAACTAAAGCTATCAACATTGGAATGTTCATCATAGTCAGTGTGACGTTGATTTCCACTCTAAGATTCCAACTCCCATCAGCCCCCGTCAGTATTGCTAATAGGGATGATAGAAGCTGGTAGTTCAGCAACTTCCGGAGGACACAGGTTCCCTATCCCTGAAATTAAGGTACTGTTGTGCTAACCTCTCTGGCATCCATGACCGTACCCACTCCAACTGTAAGTGCCATTGTGGGCACTTTGGAGAGGTCTCCATCAAAGAATCTGGCATTAGCCAATATCGTGTCCATAGCTAAGGTCTTGACTCTGGTTCTGGACACCAGGCTTGAGCCAGGCTCATTGAAGGCAATATGACCATCTGGGCCAATACCTGTAATAGAGACAGTTCATGTTTAGAATCTAGCGAAAAGAAAGGAAACATCAAGAATACAAGAAAGTGATTAGGTGCTTATTGGGCTCAAGAAAACTTAACAGGGAAGTTGCAAGTCGACTTTAGCTCATAAACCATCCTGTGAAAATTTACTTGCCCCTGATAAACATTTAGGAAAAGCATCTCCCATATCCCAGGACCTGACAAAGTCACTAAAAAAAGGAATGGATTTATCTACAGGGTAAGCAGAAATAATGAAACTAGACTGCCACAGCAATCTTCAATTAACTGACACTATCTGCCTCTTCTGTACAATGTGTGTACACCACTTGGTATCTTATCCCTTGATGGCTCATCACTCTGGTTGCAGCATAAAATGAACTGCTTTCGCTACAAAGCACATGCTCTGAGGTAGAAACAAAAAGCCAGTGTGGCAATTTGCTGATCTACGAAGGTCATTTCACCACCTGCAAGTCACTGAGGGATGGCCACGCATGTTCAAACCTTGCCCCCTCTCAATGTTCACCTCCAACAAAGAGTTCGATTCCTCCAGCCTCTTTGATTTTTCTTTCAAAAGCCTCACACTCTGCTTCTAGGTTAGCTGCATTTCCATCCAGAATGTGTGTGTTTTCAGAGGAGATGTCGATGTGCTTGAAGAAGTTGTTCCACATGAAGGAGTGGTAGCTTTCTGGGTGATCCCTTGGAAGACCTGACAAGAACACAAGGTTAGCTCAGGGCTATATATTCCTGCATTTCTGTGAAATGAATGCAGCAGCAACAGACCAATGTTCTCCTGTAGTATCCAGCAGGGGGGAAAGTTGCATATTTTATTGTTGATTTTGCAGATGAGTTTCCCTCCAGATGAGTTTCACACTCCACAGATACTACGTCACTACTTGATGACCCACGCTCCTCCTCGCCCATTATACAGCAGTCTAAAGTTCACTCTCTATGGACCCATGATAAGAAAGTGTGGCCAAACAGAACAGAACAAATCTTTGGAGCTTGTTTTCTAATTCACAGCAAGCAAGGATCATGGGGAAGTGTCAGAACCTGCAGCATTCAGATTATAGCAGCTTCAAAATGTTCGTCTACATTACACACACTAAATTCTTGCTTCCTCTCCCAAAGGCTAAGTTTAAAAACACGGAGAAGCAATTTAATGAATATTCCTTTTATATATATTTTGGGTGCTTTGTCAGCTTGAATGAAAGCAACAGCAATGTGAAACAAACAGACCCCTGCCCACAAAAAACAGACTGCTGAACTAACAATGTTTGGAGATAAGCAGGAATGGATTTTTGAATGAAAGGACCATGAGCCCTGGTACTAAAAACAAATCCCTTTGCTCAGTAGCTACTCCGAGGCACCTGGATCTTTAATTGGATGTGTATTTATGGAACTTTACAGTAGTATCTCTGCTTACGGACAATTTGTTCCGGAGGTCCGTTCTTAAGCTGAAACCGTTCATATCCTGAGGTGTGCTTTTGCTAATGGGGCCTCCCACTCCGTGCGCACCTCTGGCGCGGGATTTCCATTCGCTTCCTGAGGCAAAGTTCACAACCAGGAGCAGCTACTTCCAGGTTAGTGGAGTTTGTAACCCGAAGCGTTTGTAACCAGAGGTACCACTGTATGTCTTTTATACCTACAGTAGCTCAGATTGGTGGATCTTGAGGTTTTAGTAAAACAACAACAACAAAATAGATCCTGCAAGCCCAAAGTCTGCCCTCCCCTGTTTTGCTGTGCTTCATTCTTTGCTACTAGAGTTTGCTATCTGATAGTCCACTATTCGTTTCTGAAAGACAGTTCTTAGGTTTTTAGCATTCATACATTATCTCAGTAATCCTCACAACCATCCTTGCAAGGTGGGCCGTTATTATTGTCCTCGTATTGCAGATAGGGGAAAAAGGGCTGAGAGAGAGTGACTTGCTGCTAAGTGGCGAGATGCGAACCAGCCATTTCCTGGTTCATAAGCTCGGTTCCTGAATCACTGCAGTACTGTATAGAAATAAACCCTTATTGAGTTGATCACAGTAAATAAATGCTGTGGGCAAAGAATAGCAATTATTTCTCCCCCCTGCAGTTCTCAACAAAAAGGTGACTCACCCACATACTCATCCATATTGAAAGTTTTCACATACTTGAAAGAAAGATCTCCATTCTTGCAATATTCTATCAGTTTTTTGTAGCATCCTAACGGAGTACTTCCTGGAGATTAAAAAAAAAAGCCTTGCACAGTCAGGGAGATCTAAATCTGGACCACAGAAATGGTAAGCAGCATGCATTTGACTAGAAATCCCTGTGTGCGCTACTACAGAACAACAGCTCAGATGCCTGTGGGGCTGCTCAGTTCTAGCTCCACCTGTTTAGATTCATTCTAATCAGTACTTCCATTAAGGTCTCCAAGACCATATTGGCACCCTAGCTCCAAAACACATTTTCTTGAAAGTGTTTTCTGTCAATAGTACTGGAAGAGTCTCTTAAGTGCTGGCATGCAGAGACTATGATTCCAATCTGTGCATATACGGGGTAGTACATGAATCAGGAATTTGGGGGCGGTGTATGACGCAACACAAATAAGCCAATTAAGTGACAGAATCCTCATCACACGATCTAACAGAGTCCATAGTCTGTACATTCCAAGGAAGATGCTATCCCCCACCATCATTGCACCCCATCTTACAGTTCTACATAGCCCATAGGATTTTGAGGCTGATTTGGGGTTATGTAAAACTGGGAATAATATGTGTAGCATGTGAGGGTAGTGGAGCAGTCACACAACAGAAAAGTGTTTTAGAAAGAAGTTTACATGGATCTTGTTTTAAAAGTAGTTTCCCAAAATAGAGATGCCCTCAGAATAGTCATTTCTCATAAAGAATGGCAAATACCCTTTATAAAGAAGAATGTCTATTATATAGGCTGAGCCCTCCAGCTGACTAAGAGCAAAGTAAATTAGGGGTTGAAAACTCAGGTAAGAGCCTTTCCATCACAAAGCCAGGCTTGTCACTTACCAGTGGGAAGTCCAAGAGTGAAATATTTGCTTGGACCAGGACTAAACTGGATGATCCGATTCCTAATGTACTTTGCTGCCCATTCACTGGCTTGAGCATAGTTCTCTAGAATGATGAGTTTCATGCTAACCTGCAAATTTGAAAGAAAGGTTTGATTAACAGATTGCTAATAGGTGGCAAGCTATCAGCAGCATCATTACCCACCATTCTCTCCTAAAGCCAACAGCTTGGATGCATTTGGCCTGCAAGCCTGAAACTGCTCCCAGGTAAAAACAGTAATAAGGGTATTTTTAGGAAAGAAAATGCAGCTTATACAGAGTCTCTCAAAGGAGGGCAAACGAGATCAGCTTGGAGCAGTGATCCTGAAGGATCAGACGCAAACGTGGTTTCTCTCCTACAGGTCAACAACAGTACACTGTGAGGGGCTGTAGCTCACAGGCTGAGGACATACAGTATATGCAAAAGGTCCCTGGTTCAACCCCGGCATCTCCAGTAAAGGCACTCAAGTGACAGGGCTGGAAAAACCTCTGCTCCAGATCCTGCAGAGCTGCCATTGCCAGTACACATTACAGCATAGCATATACTGCAAGAGCAGCAGTGGATGAATCTACTCAGCTGATGCTCTTCTTTCAGCCTTGGGTTATTCCATTTCATGCCTCACTCCACTCACTTCCTCCCCTTTTCCTCTGAAGTCTAGACTCTAGTCCTGTGATGCCTCAGACACTTGCACTTCTTCCTTGTTGCCAAGTGTTTAAACAACATATTCTGCCTCTTTTCCTTCTGTGTTTCTCCCCTGCTACTGTAATGTACACATTAGGCACAAGTTGGGTGGGTTGTAAGCCAGCGCACAGGGTTTGCTCTTTTCAGATTCATTTGTGTACTATGTTGAGTGTTGAGTAGATAAGATCAACAGAAGAGAAGTGGAGGCAGAAGAGGGCATGAAAGAAATAATGTACATAGGGCATAGACTGTGATGGTCCAAGAAAAGCTTTGCAGAAGAAGTAGGTTTTGAAACAACAACAGCAACAGCAATTATTTCTTTGTACCTCACCCATCTGACTGGGTTGCCCCACTCACTCTGGGCGGCATCCAGCATATATAAAAACATAATAAATAGCACCAGAGGGATGATCTGAAAGGGAAAAGTGGTCTGCTAGATGATGAAAGGATCTCCAAATAACCCAATGAGAAGGACAAGTGAAACAAAGGTGTTCTAAACTTTTATCAAGAGCATTGATATATCAGCCGAAAAAGAGCCTGCAGAATCAGGCCATCCTGTTTTCACAGTGGCTAACTGGATGTCAGTGGGAAGCCTGAAAGCCAAACCCAAGTACAAAAGCACCCTCCCTACTTGTGATTCTCAGCAACTGGTATTCAGAGGCATAGGCCTCCAACCGTGGAGATAGAACATACCCAGCGTGAACAGTAGGCACCATGAGCAAAGACCCGGACCTGGATATTTTCCCAATACAATTCCCACCTGATGTTGTGAGTGTGTTTATATAACACACACACATTCATATACCCTCCAGTGCGCTGAGCAGAAGGCAGTAAGCAACAGGTTGCACGGGCACTTTTAGATCAACTAAGCAACAAAAGCAGCTAACAACACCTAGGGAAGAGTGCATATCTGTCCCCCACATTATATCGATTGATCAGAAACACGGCCAAGTCTTAGTTGCTGATTCATAGCCATCAACCCAGGTTACGTGTAAGCGTGTAAAACTTAGAAAGCCCTCTTTCCCCTTTCTCTCTTGAACCCCCCCCCCATCGCGAGGCGGATGAGCTGTTTAAAAGGAATGTTGCTAGGAGACATAGCGGAAGCCACGGCAAGAGGGAAGTAACATTTAACTCCTACCTGCATGCCAAGGGCTCAGAGATCAGAGACCAAACCGCGGGAAAGGGAGCTTTATTTTAGAGCACTCGATGGAGAAGAGACGACGAGGAGACAGACAGACAGACAGACAGACAGACAAACAGACAGACAGACAGACACACACACACACAAGCAAAAGGACCCCTCTGTACCAGCCACGCAAGGCAGCCGCGTCCGGCAAGAGACCCAGGTCCTGCAACAGGTCCCGACCCTCCGGTGCGGAACACGCCTCGACACGTCATTCAGCGCGTCCACACATGCAGGAACAGGCAACACCCCGGATCCGCATCCTGGATCGCTGCCCACACCGAGCGCCGGGCATCTTTCCTCCCACTTACCGTTCCGCTACAGCTCCGACTTCTCCAGTTTACTCCTGACCCGCCTCCTCGTTGAGCCTAGGCGGTCATGTGAACGGCGGTGGGTCACGTGGAGAGAAGAGCCGAGCCAAGAGCAGAAGCTCCGCCCCGGTCCCCTCCCCTTCGCTCGCCCGGCTGCGGCTGCCGTGCAAACAGGAACTGCTGAGCTTCGCACTTCTTCCTCTCCTCCCTTCCGCTTAGCTCAGCTCTTCTTGGGGGGAAAAACCCGGAGGCACTTCTGCTTTGCAAGTGGGGCTAGGCTGGCGGTGTCGTGTGTCGAGCGCTCTGCTCCAAGGTGCCAGCCAGCCACGACCTTTCCCAGGATACTCCATTCTGTTTGCCCTCCCATCCCACTTTTCTAAGTTTTCATTGTTTATTTCCTCAAAGGTGGTGGAAACTGCTTAGAGGTTTTCATCAGTTGAGACTGGTTTGTAAATCTTGTCAGATAATACTAATGAAACAAATTCCCTCCCCAATTTTTTTTCCTCGCAAGAACCCAGTGAGGTAAGTAGGTTAGGTTGAGAGGCAGTAAGTTGCCCAAGGCCACCCAGTGCATTTCATGACGGGGTGGGGATTTGAACCCCTGGTCTCCCAAGGCCCTAGTCTAGCCCTTTAACCACTGATTACTATTGCTGTATCTAGGAGTCTGATACAAGCTCAGACTGTTTGTTCATAATTAAATCTTTGGTCCAAAGCAGTTTTACAAGTTTATATGAATTCTGAAAACCTGCTGAGTCTGTCCATCCTCCTCCTCATCAATATGAAACAGACACACTTAGCGGCAGCAGTTTCTGTAATTTGGCACAGTCAAGATTGTTAAGCAGTCTTAATGGGGTGCAAACAGGCAAAGCTCTTGACAGTATCTACAACCAGTCTGGACTTTGCCTTTGTAAGCGGTTGGTACGTAGTAGACAAACTTCAATGGCCAGCATAGGAATGGGTTACCAGGCAGACAGCAGTGGCTTCTTCCAGCAATGGCTCTTGGAGAAAGCAGTTCAGTCACAGGAGCAGAGGAAGCTACCGGTACTTTATCTGTGTCAAACCATTGGGCCATCCAGCTCAGCTTTGTACTAAACTGATTGACAGTGTAGAGTTTTAGACAGGAAGCTTTCCCAGCCCTACCTGGAGATGCTAGGGACTGAATCGGAGTCTTAGACACTTAGCAGATGTTCTGACACTGTACAATGGACTCGCTGTCATATAAAAGCTACCACCTGCAAGGGAAACTCTTTATTTTTAACACTGCTCTTTTGTGTGAATGGATTTCTGTGCAAAAGAGCCGTTTTAATTGTAAAAATAGAAATACGATAAATGTGCCTTCAGCAGTTGGTTGTGGGGAAAGGCAGACTGCAGCCTTTCCTTTGGGCTGATGGAAACAAAATGGAAGGTAGGGGGCATGGAGGGAGACAGCACCCAGAAAAACATCACCACAGGGAGGGAGTTTTTTCATCACAGAAACTCAGTTCCGGCACCTCTCAGGTGGGCACTTCCTACTGTAATTCTTGTGCCATTCATTGAATTTTAATAGGCTTACTGAGGAAAATAAAGTAAGATGCTGTCATCACGTTTCCTTATGAAAGAAAACTTATTATACAGTTTTATATGGATAAATATGCAAATAAGTTCTATTCTGGTGATGTTTTATAAAAGAGTCACATGTCATTCTGGAATGACCAGCACCACCTGAAATGTAGGAATATATGCAAGGAGACTTTAAATGATGAGGAAGATGTCTGGGTGTTGGCAGGCTACTTTCTTCAAGGCCCTACTGTAAATACATTCAACCCTAGTATGATACTTTAATACAGCTTCAGTTTGTTCACCCCTGCAGGAAAATTAGGGAGGATGAAAAAGGCATCTAATAGGTTATACTGATTACCTCAATGTAGAAAAAGCTGCAAGTCACATACACATAGGGACTGTGATCTTATCAAGTCAACATTACAATAATAAGGTGCCCTTTTTGGGTTTGGGCCTATTAATCAAGGAGCTTTTTTGTCCTTACCGTTGATATCCTGAAGGAGTGCTTCTTCCTATACTGTCCTGCTCATGCATTTAAAATCGTCAACTAAGGCCCTTCTCCAAGTACTGTCTCTTTGCGTATTGTGTTATACTTGCATGAAGGAGACAGCCATTTCCTGGTGGCACTCTAATTTTGGAAAACCCTCCTTAGATAGACTTGACTGGCATTGACATTACAATATTTTTGAAAGCAGGTTAAGTCTTTCTTGTTTGCCAAGTCATTTTAAAGGGGCTACATTTTGTTTTTAGCTGTTGTATTTTGATCCTTGTTTTATGATGGCTTATGTTTTGGTTTTGTGATGGTTTCTCTTTTGCTTTTATGGTATTTTATGATCAATGTTATAACTGTACGCCAGCCTTCCTTTGCTCTGCAAGCTATTATATACTTGCTAAGCAAACAATAAAGATAAAATTCAGTTAAATAAAACATAGAAATAGGAAGGTACAGACTAACGGTACTTTGGAAGCTGTTTTACATGTGATGTTCCTAACTGCAGGAAATAACAGACACAATATAATTCTCTTGCATAGCAGTTTCAGATGACAACATCCAGGCATTTTGCTCTTATCAAGTCAGAAACCCATTTGTTACTAATTGCTGAAAATTAGCAGGCATAAAATCATGTTACTAGGTTCACAATACATCACTGCTGCCTTTACCATCAGGTTTGGTTAAACAGCTCCTGGATAATTCATACCATATTTGGAAAGCAAATGACTAGAGACAGCCTTTATTCAAGAGATGTTTCCAACTTCATAGTTTCTTTCATCCCTGATGTTCCAACAAGGCAGCCTTTTACCAACTTTCTTTCAAATTACCAAAGCATCAAGAAAAAGAGATCCAATGGGGTCAGATTTTCAAAAGTAATTTTAAGTCCTATGATCCAGACAAAGCTAAGTGCAGCTACATTCTATTAGTTACACTGAGGGAGCTGAAAAGTTGCATATGGTTGCAATCCTATACACATTTATTTGGGAGTAAGTATCAATGAATTAACTAGACTTTGCTGTTAACATGCATAGGAAGGGGCCTAGCCAAAGTTAACCATTTTTAGGTCCTGTTGATTTCTATTTATTGTCATTGATCTCTTTATACAATGAATTGTGAATAAAGAAGATGAAGAATTCCTTCAGAAGATGCAAGAACTGGAGCAGGTACTGAGTGTGCATCCTAGTACACTGGTACCTCGGTTTAAGAACAGTCCTGTTTACGAACGATTCGGTTTACGAACTCTGCAAAACCGGAAGTAGTGTTCCGGTTTGCGAACATTACCTTGGTCTACAAACGGAAACCGAATGGTGAAAGTGCACTGGCGGCAGGAGGCCTCATTAGGGAAAGCGTGCCTCGGTTTAAGAATGGTTTCAGTTTAAGAACGGACTTCTTGAACGATTAAGTTCATAAACCGAGGTACCACTGTATAACCAATATTCCCCTGGAGCTGTGCATTCCAGAGGAAGATCAGAAGTGGACCCCTTGACTTTCTGCAACGCTTGTCATCCTTCCATTGAAGAACCCATGATAGGTTTGGGAGGAACCCGAGTTCCCTAGAACACAATTGAAAATGCATGGCTAAAAATAACCAGAGGTGTTATGCTGTATGTCAGTGTCACTAATTTATTAGATAGCCATTTGATATAGTGAACAACAGGTTCCAATGTCTTTGACTTCATTAGTGTTTTTCATTTGTTGTCTCTCTCTTAACTCCCCTTTTTCCAGTTTTCTTGGTATGAAAAGTGACAAATCAAAGGTATAATTCCTCATCTATCAGCTAGTTTAGCTGACCACTTGGCAAGGTAGAATCAACAGCTAGCAGATGAACATTTAGAGTGCATTGGATTGGCAAAGGCTGTTTTATTAGGATCAACAAAAAGATCATTTATTATTTTCATAGTTCTTTTTAATAAACAACAGCAACTCATAAAAAAGCCAACAACTAGCAGGTGAAGAGGAATCTGAAAATATCAGAAATATTTTATACTAGAATACTTGAATCTGATTTGTAAAGTAAATGCTTTTAATAACATTTTCAATTTAGTTTGTATTTCAGTACCTATGGCATTTTATGATGTTTCAATATGGGGGGGGGGAAGAGTTTTACTTTCACAGAAAACAATGACTTAAATTTCTTAACAAATTTCCACTTGTACAAACCCCCGCACAAAAATGTTGATATGGGTGAAGAAAGCTGGAATGACCCACACTGAAGGCTTCGCTTTTATGTTACCTTCTGAGTATGCTCTTGCAGAAGGGATGGCAAATTGTGAGTTGGGAGCACACCAACCTGGATTGCAACAGCTCCTGTGATCTAAAGGAGGAGCGGATGTGATATCAGAGGTTCAGAATGGTACCTCACTCCCACCGTACAACTTTTTAAATTGCGCCATGAGCTCCCACGGCTTGACTGTATATAAACAGGAAACCTGGAAGAATTCACAGGATCAAACAAAGTCAAGCCAGGCTCTGAACTGGCTATGGGCACTGTAATTACAACGTATTGTGTAATCAGTCTGAGCTGCCTAATGACTGTTGATGCTGATTGTCCTTAGGATAACCTTAGCTCCCGTTCTCCATCCGTAAAATGGGCGACCGTTTTCTAGATGCTTAATGCCTTGGCCATACAATGTGGGAGCAAGCAGGCTGGTGTGGCTTGTCTTACTCTCTTATCTGCTCTTTGGATGAGTTAACTGGTTTTCGGATTCTGGCACAGTCCGAATGATGTGGTTATAAATTATAATCACTGGATGAGGTGGGGGTGTCTGTTCAGACAATGGCACTGCTTGGTGGCAGGGCGCTGGCAAACAAATGTGGCTGCCGTGCACCTCAGTTAAAGGGCCTGTTTCCTGCAAGCTCCATCACTGGGGCCATCACTTGAACCCAGGGCCGGATTTAGGTTTGATGAGGCCCTAAGCTACTGAAGGTAGTGGGGCCCTTTATATGTCCAGCTGTCCTTTGTCAACAACAAATTGTTGTTGAATATATGCTATATGGTAATTTATGTACCTAATAGGTACTGTTGCTGTATGTAGGTTTTATTTTATTTGTTTTTTATCTTATATTTTGGAAATGTACATCCAGGTTTTTTTTCCTTTAAAATTTTTTGGGGCCCCCAAGAGAGTG